TTCAACGATTGGCCCATAGACAATGTAACCTCCAAAAAAGACCACTTGTCTATAAAGCCCAAGTTCAGCCTCTCGCTTGGTTGGCCTTTGCTCACAGGTTTGACTGTATGTGTGCCACATTTAAAGAATTGCACGTATGTCAAACGTGTTTTTTCTGATGGGGAAAGGCCAAAGTCATAGAAACTGCTTCAAATTCACGCTGTAAATGACCAGTTGGACATTGCCTACTTCAAGATTAGCGCCTCCCTGGAGTCCTTCTTTCTTGGTTCGCCTTAGAGATTCTTTATTTCTCTTTATTTTCAAAAAGTCTTGCACATCGACCTTGTAACCTACCGATTGTAACCTATACACAACCATGATTCCCATACATCGCATTAAGCCTAATTTTTATAAGACATTATTCTTTGTTACAAATTGTGTTACGATTTAAGCTATCTGGACAATGTTAGTGTAGGATATACTTGAAAATGATAGAAAGTGGAAAGATCAACAAAAATGTGTAGCAAACAAACATGCATATTTTTAAGATAATGCAAATTAGTTAGTTACTCCATATTGACGTATTTTAAAACATTTTCATCCCCTTTTCGGTCTCAAATAGTGCAAAAGTGCTTGATTTAGACCCACACACTTGTTAACGTTTGAGAAAGGTATTTAAAAAGTCATGAAATGAAATACTTCACTTATAATAAAATATTAAGCCAGATGGAATGGTTTTACGGCAAACCAACATTTTGTATAGCAATTTAATATACATTTTATTAATCATGTTATACAAATTAACATATAACTAATTTTTGCCTTACCGTTATCAACTGAACTTGTGAATGAACTGTTTTGAAAAAACAATAAATAATAAATTTAATAAACAATAAGATCCTTATCCATTCATATGATTTTTGCATTTTAACATAAGAATATTAAACCTCAAAAAGCGATAAGAACATGCTTATGAGAAAGGTTTGTTAACCCTTTTAATGTATGTTAATTTGAAATTAGACAGAATAAATGATAACGTGAAACAAGCACAAACGTACGCTTTCATTTCAAATTTTATTACGTCATACGACTGTCGGTCTCAAATGAGATGCGCGCCGGATAATGTCGTATAATACGTGTAAAATAGTGTGCCTATCGTAAAGACGTTGTTTTTACTCTCTCCGATAAACGAGGTTTATCGACCATTGTAGGGGGCGGGGCGTCCGTGGCGAAGTGGTTAAGGTCGTTGACTTCAAACCACTTGCACCTCACCGCTTTGGGTTCGAATCCCGACAGGGACTTTGGATTCTTTCATGTGAGGAAGCTATCCAGCTAGCTTACGGAACGTCGGTGGTTCTACTCAGGTACCCGTTCGTGCCTGAAATAATGCACGAAAGGGCACGTGAGGTCTTCCTCCACCAGTTACGCTGGAACGTCGCGATATGACCTATATACTGTGTCGATGTAAACCCCAATTTGGGTTTTGACTATTTTTGTATTTTTTACCACGTGTTGTGTCTGTGGTAGTGCAAACGCATTACGGTAGTAATGGCCACAGTTGAAGTGCGTGAGGCCAACAAGGCTAAAGCAAAGCAGAAATTAGCCGATATGAGCGTTTCTGATGGTCACCAGACAAAACCTGTGGATGTGACTTCAGTCTAAAAGCCCTCAAAAATCCCATCTACAAAGAAAACTTCGACGACGCAGTCGTCAGCCGGTGTGTTATTTTCGAACTCGTCGAGTTCCGTGTCTGAACAAAATGTGCAGAGTGATGGGTATTTTGAACTCTTTTAATAAAAATCGGAAAGCGCAAGATATCCGTTTGAAGTCTTTAGAGTCCCAAATTATATCATTTAGTGAGGAAAATCCAGTTGATTATTATAATGATCATGAAGAGGAAGACCATTTCGGCGATGCTGATTTAGGAGTTACTGATACAATATGTACTAATATAGATGAGCATCCTTCTGATCAGAACAGTCCGTGCAGATTAACAAACAGGGGTCATCAGGGGCTTTTAAAGGTGTTTGTTCCAAGTATGATTTGTTGGGATCCGTCGATGACGAGGTTGACACCGATTTGGCAAATTTGCTAAATAATGTGTTACGTGAGAGTATTTCTTATGAAAAGTTTGCCTTGCTCATGAAAGACATCTCGTCCAGAGAATTGTACAGCATTAACGAAAACAAGAGTAAATAGTCTTGTTTGGAACTTATTATCGCCCCATATGCAGACTATTGATGCTAAGATGCAGTATATACACGAATCTATCGTTAAGGCTGCTGCCATTGTTACAAAGGTTTTTTAATTTGGCTTCAGACAGACTATCTGCATATGAAATTGAATCTGGAACAGATGCTTTAGGTTTATTAGGTCAGGCAAATAAGTTAATTAACATAAGAAGAAAAGAAACTCACAAAACTGATCTAAACAAAGAGTATCATTATTTATGTTCTGCCTCTCAGAAATATACAGATTTATTATATGGAGATGATGTGAGCAAGCATGTTAAAGAAATTCAAAATCTGGAAACAAAGTGATCCCTCGGAAGCATTAATCACAACAAAATTACAAGAGAATTGCAGACTCGGTCTGATTGAGTCTGTACATGAAGGATAATGAATACATCAATCGCACGGGTCAAGAATATGGGGTAGATATCCTTATGCACGTGTCAGAGGTCGTTTTCCTTTGAGAGGTGTTTACCATGGCAGAGTAATGAAGAGGGGCCGTGTCATGGAAATGGTGGTGCATTTAGATTTCCAAAAAAACTACCAAGAAGACCGCAGCAAGAAATAAATATTGATAAGGTGAGTCAGTTTGAAGCAGGTAGATTGAGATATTTTGTGAAAAATTGGAGAGATATTACCCAAGATCAAAATATTTTAGATATTGTTGAGCATTGCCATCTAGAATTTGAGTCAAATTTTGATCCTGATGATTTTTGTTTAAAAAACACAATCTGTAATTCTTTTGAAGTTATCAATAATGAAATTGATAAATTGTTAAAACTGAAAGTTTTAATTCAATAGAGAAAAATAAGAATCCCTAAAGAAAGCGGCAAAATTGAAAATGTTGCAGGCTCGGTTTGATTGAGCTGTCAAGTGCAAACTACCGTCCACGCCCCCTCCAAAATATTCCTTTATATAACGTTTGCGTAAATGAATATACAGAGGTTACTCTGAGCAAAGTGAAATTCATCCTCTAATGTTTTGCAGGTTAAACATTTACGGTCTGAATAAGGGATTTATGCCACCTGCCTGTTTTTATTTCTAATCCGTACGCCGATCCCTTAGCCTTTAAAATGCAATTCTTAATCTCGTGTTTTTTAGGAAATCTAAATACGGCTGGAATTTAAAATTTGCAATTAAATTATATGTTCTTGCTTTGAATGACCCTTGTAGTTTGAATAAAACTATCACCAAGTCTGCTTTTAAATATTCCATAATTAAAGTTTTATCTCCTACTCCCCGAAACAACTAGGTATAACTAAATCTTAAATTTTCTTATAATTTTTTAAAGGCCCATTAAGTCTCAGAAATGTTTTTATTTTCTTTTTTCAAAAGCTTTTTAATTTATAGTATCCAAAAAAATACTCATCAGCCAATTACTATTATCATTTTTTTTTGTTTTGTTTTTTTGTTTTGTTTTGTATTTTGGTCATAAGTATAGTAACATTGAATGAGTATTTTGGATGGAAGTCAAATAAATATTTTGTTTACATTTTGCTACTTTTATGACAAATTATTTCACATTCATCGCTACTGTCTTCATGCAACAAACACCTAACATTTCGTGTATGTTGTAATTGAGGTTGTAAACACACTTAAGTGGAATGTTATATATGTTTATGATTATGCTTCTAAAGCAATTTTCAAACATCGAAGAATATGTAAAGTATACATTGCAAATATTTGTCCTCATTATCTGTAGTATATGCATTCTTATTAATAATAAATTTCTAATTACATCCCTGTATCTACATGAACTGTAAATTAGGCAATATCTTTACAAATAATGTTTTCAATAAAGTAAGTTTTCGTTTGGTTAATTAACATAAGTGTTCATCTGATTGTGCGCATTTTTGTCTTTTTTAAAATTAACTTCCTGGTCATTTTATCCTTTTCCGGTATTGAGTGAATTCATTCTCCGTTACGGACGTTTCCGCGCGTTGTTTAATTTTTCGTGAAGGAGGTCAGACTCTCATTTGATTTTCCCATATACTTACGTTATGGGACTACCTTAAAATTGAGTTATCATTCTAAAGAGGTAATTTTTTACTATGAATGAAATGGTTGACAAATAAAAATGATCTTGTTATAAAGTAGTAGCGAACCAAATACTTCAAAGAGGATCTCATAGTTCCTCCCTGCAATAGGTGTAACAGCAGCCTGCAAGACTAGTGAAGATAGCACTAATAAAACTATTTTGGGGGATATTCACATATGCATTTTATACATATGGAAGTTTACATGATGAACGTATACTTTTGGCCTACCCAAGGGATACTTGATCTATATAGACTTATATAGGCCTTGTCACTCATTCCAATACTTATTAACCTGTAACACATAAACTTCATATTCAGAGAAACATTGATTGGTCCTACCTATCATATACATTTTCAGGTAGAAAGGTCAGTGGGACTTAATATATAAAAAATTCAACGGGCCATAAAGGGTAAGTGCGTATACATAGGATACATCTTGATATATCAAGTCTTCAGGTGCTTTAGTTACAATTCGCCCCTTATAAAGAATTGTTAATTTTATAAATATCCAGGTTGTTGTAAAACTGAGAGAGAGCCGTCAATTAGAAATTTAAAGACACCAACTGAAATAAAAATTACAAAGAGAGACGTTACTTTTTTTTCTTTTTTTTCTTAAGCTTACATTGTCAATAAATTACGAAATGCCGCATGAATGTAAATTTATAAACCCGGAAGTAAATGAAATCGTGGTTTTTCTATATATCGATTAAGTTTCAAGGAATCATTACTTCCTGTTTTGTATGAATGTGTATCCAGGTAAATCATAAACACAATGTGTATCTTTGGATTAAACTAACCTGATGCAGTGATTTAATATTTGAATATAGTATATAGGAGTATGTATTTAAATGTGATGTGTTACGTTACTTGGTTTCATACATACCAGTACATGTAATCATAAACAATTTTGTTTTGATACAAAGATTAACACTTTGTAATCTCAGATAAGTGTTATGAATTTAAAGTGAAAGTAGACAATAGATTTGTACGCAAAGAAATCATTTATCGCTAATACTTGTTTTATCTAGAGATATTTTCAGGAATGTGCTTTAGAAAATTAAGATAAGTCTACGCTGTACATATAAAGTAAACTACCTGCATTTACATTGACAACATTGTGGTCGTAATAACAAGGCAGTATCTTGTTTGTTTTGTTTTGAGGATAATGATAAAGAATAATTATGTACTTTTCAAACGTTTAGAATAAAATGAAGAAAAGTCAGCAAATAATGAGCACGTTTGATAGAAAAGAATATTTGGTACGGAGCAGTAAACCACACTTTAATGAGGTAAACTTTCTTCCCTATAACCCGAAAATTGATTTCACTGAATACATTTCATTTGATTTGGTGTCTGTTTACGATTTTTTATGTACGAGTAGTTAATAATTCTATTGTTAGTGCAATAGCTTTGCTTTGACACTTATTCCAACCCACTGAAAATATTTCAGTTATGACAATGGCAATGACTTGATTGATATCTACATAATTTAATATTCTTCAAATTACCTAAAGATACATGATGGTGATTCTGTGTTGCTGTATATTGTTTGGGACTGGGTTCATTGAACGCCATTCCCCCTTGATCTGTATTTTCCTATTTAAAAAAAACTATTCAAAGGACCATGTGTATTATATAAAATCGATATCAATGGTATCCCATCAACGATCACAAAAATGTCCATTTTGACATAAAAGGTAAGCGTTTTAGAACCAGTGCCACTCAATATAAATGCATTAACCTTGGGATTATTGTAAAAATCAAATAATTGTAAATTAGAATAATCTTGTAGCATAAATACTGACCTGAACAGAAGATGGACTTACAAGTTTAAATTTTTTTAATAAACATTTGGTATTTTACACAATAACAATTTATTGATATTGGCCATCGGCCCATTACAACAATATATACATTAAGATATTAATTCTTGACTGGTGCCAGTACAGATCGACAGTTATGTGTTGACGTGCCGTAAAAATCCAAACAAACAAACAAAGTACAGATCGATATCAATCGTATAAATGATAACATATTCTTCAAAGTGTTACAATTATTTCAACTTGGTATGGAGTATGCTTTACCGGAGGCAAAATCCTTATGTTGATATCACAATAATTGTAAAACATCTTTGATAAAAGCTATAATAATAGCTTGTAGCTTTACTAAGCACATCATACCTTTTCAACTAACAATACAAATGTTTTAACTACAATGCTTGCAGACAATTACTCACGAAACAAAAGTCAATTTCAACATTGCTTTAAGGCATTAATCATAAAAACAAACTTTTATACTTCCGTAATTCCCATTGAAAATATTCTATTACTGAATTCCTGTACAATGTTTCTAATAGTTTTTTTTTACGAAAACACCAAGATTTTTGAATATTTACCAAGGTGCGTGTCGATCTTAACGAAAAACAAAACATAAGATATTCACTTATGGCTTTTCTTTGCAAATAAGAAATAAATACTATAGCCTTAACATTAAAGGCAATAGTGTTTTGATGCAATAGTGTTTTGATCTGACTTATGCTTCGTACAACATTGCCCGAAATGAAAAGTAAATTCATTTACCACATCACTGTTGAAACTTATTCAACACTGAAGTTTCAAAATTGAAAACAACAAACTAATCAATACCTTAAAAGTAACATTTATGATATTATAAGCATATTCTCAAACATTTTATAGCAGTAATTTCAAATTTAAGTATCTGTGTTAAAACATACAAAATGATTTCTAGAATATGATCTCAACAATATAGTAAGTATATCCTAATAATTTATAACTGTCAGTATTTGTATTACTTAACATCTCATTTTTCTCTTTGAATGCATAATATGCATACATAGCTAAATTTGTTATGACATTATCAGAGGGCAAGTAAATTAGAACATTAAATTTATGATTATTAGAAGAATTTTTTGTCAATATATCTTTCTCTTATCAAAGACAACTATTTACAAACTAAAATAAAATGATATTCATTTCCAATTGCTTCGTGATATAATTTACACATCCTGTGTTCTCCTAAAATAATCTGGTATCTACCTTTTTTAATTTCTAAATCATGGGAGGACAACCGAAGTTTAGCAAGAGGATTTCTGAAGTTTCTAATTGTCACTACTGTTTAGTAATATTCATGTTCGATATTGCATTTAAACTGTCTATACGCATACAATTTAGAACTATCATTTATAAATGTTTGCCCTTCTTGTAGATATTGGTCCCTTAATTTTTGTACAAAGGAATTGATAAAAATAGTCTTCATTATTGACTGTTTGATTGTACCAAATGTAACCAAAACCATTTTTACATAATAAATTGCGATTACCAGTACACCAATTAGATTGCCCCGTACTATAAAAAAAACTGCATAAAATAGCATTTTTTAACTAGTCTATGCTCGCTCATTTTGAGTTTTTTCACCAATATCTTACACCTCTTTTAGCAGAATTTATAAACATAGGGAATCTCCCACAGTCACCTAGGACACCTGCATTAATTGTTTTTTTCTTTCACACATAACTATCTTTTACATGCATAGTTATGTACTAACTCTGGTTGTACTAACTTGTGCATACCCCAAATTTCTGATCCATAAAGTAAAATAGGACTAATTTTTGTGTCAAAAATATTTAAAAAATACTTTTGGGGGTAACTGTCCGTAGCGAAAGTATAGAAATAAGTTCTCTTTTTGCTTTAGATGCTGGTTCACTAGCCATTCTGTTTAAGGACAACTGTTGTGTTAATGTAACTCCTACATAGGTAAAATTGCTTACAACTTCATGGATTTGATTATCATAAATCCATTTCTCTCTTTTCGCTAATTTCCCACCATTCTTAAAAACCATTACTTTTGATTTTACAGGATTGACTTTACATTTTTTCATCACGGAAATATTTTACCAAATTTAATAACTTTTGAAGATCAACCACAGTATCTGCAGCTTAGGCCAAATCATCTGCAAATAATGAAGATAATATAACTCAGTTGTATCTGGGAACAGCTGGATACCTCTGATTCCACTATTTTCAATTCGTTTAATTAATTCATCAATAAAACTAAAAATAGAATTGTCGAAGCCATGCAACCTTGTTTTAGACCTATGGGACAGCTGAAATATTCAGTTAGCCCTTCATCAGATATAACACAAGCTTGTATCGATACAAATATTGCATTATATAATTTACCTTTAAACCGGCTTGTTTTAAAGCTTGCTAGATAGTATGTCTATTTATCAAATGGAAACATTTCATAAAATAAATAAATGCTACATAAAGTTTACCACCTGACTTTAATAACTGTTTGTCAATAACTGCTTGAAATACATAAACATTATCAACTGCGAGTAACCTTCTCGGAATCCAGCTTGGGGTTCACAAATTGCATTAAAGATAATAATATAAAAAGTTAATCTCCGTGTCAAAATACTAGTATAAATCTTGCTAAATATATTTAAAAGAGAAAAACCTCTATAATTATCAGTGTATTTTATATTACCTTTTATGTATAGTAACAATAATTGCCTTACTCCAAGATTCCGGAAAATCACCATTATGGTATAATCTATTAATTATCATATTAACTAAGGGAATCAATAAATCAATACCGTTAATAAAAAATTCTGGAATAATATCATCTTCATTCCCGAAGTTCCTCTTTTAAGTACTTTTACAGCCCTTAAGATTTCTTCGTCTGTAATTTCCGATGTAAAAATTGAAAACTTTATATCATTATCTATATGAGTAGTATATGCGTCACTTTGGCATCAAGACTGCACATGCGCGGCGGCCATTTTGTTTTCTATAAATAGTAACTCATTTGCATAGAAGAAATGACCTCACTACACATGCGCGGCGGTCGTGTTGAATAACAGATGCGCGGCGGCCATTTTTGGATTCTATTTTAAGAATGACATCATCACGTTATAAATAGAAACGTGAACAAAAAAATATATCTCCCTGAAGTATACAGAGCTGACTTTTATACACGATTTAGGGCGTGGTTGCGCACATTGAGGGTCAGGTGCTGAGCCCTAAACGGAGAGATGACAAGATAATACAGAGAAATAAAAGTTTTATTTTATTATCAAAACATATCAAAAAGTATAAGTAAATAAATTGTTGAACAATATTAGTGAAAAAATAATTATAATATGTCAAAATAAATAACAGATAATAAGAACTATATACGAAATATATTTAAATATTATATAGATTTATCCAAACACGGATTGAATTAAAATGAACTACATTGATGTAAAAATAAATATATAAAACGAAATATTCATTTTATTTAAGCTAAAACATTAAACTATGTATTTTACCTGAAAATAGTACTTTTGTTGACGATGTTTTCTGCTAGACGTCCAGTGATAAATTGACTCCAATCATAAATGTAATTGTACTTATTGATGGCGCATGCTTGGACCCGTTTTTACAAGCGACATCATAAGTTATATTTAGATTTGGTCACGAGTGCACCGAACGTGATAATAGTCACATAGTCGAGCGTATATTTATTTAAGAGCGGATGCATTAACAATGGTCCATTCAACTGTCAAAGTTAATCTCTTTAAAGTCGCCACTTTGTCTGGCGTCTATTTATTTAGGGACGGATATGCGGACAATGCTCCATTCAACTGTCAAAGTTTATCCGTCTAAAGTAAAAGCGGGTTAGCAATAAGCTATTAAAGTGTCAGTTTACCACTGGGGCATAATTTTAAACTCATTTTGGAAAAGAAATGCCAACATGTTTTTAAAACTGATCATCACGAATGTGCAAAATTATAAAAAAAACAATGGGCGGAACTAAATAAAATGCAATTTTGAAAGGGGATCAAATTTAAAAGCAGGCCCCATATCCTAAAACCCATGAGAATGTTTGTAAATGTGAAAAAAGTTTAATTATGGGTTTTAGAATATGGGGCCTGCTTTTAAATTTGTCTTTTGACGTTATATCTGTGGTATGCAGGCTTCAAAACCTCTGATCTAATTTTAGAAACACACCAAAATCACAATAATGAAAGACTCGTGTCACATTTCTAATAAAACAACAATACCAGCCATTGCTCTTCCTGCTAATGCATGTTGTATACCTGATACAAAATGTAAATCATATTCTGGTAAAAAGGATTCAATAAGTGATTAGTCAGTTTGTGAATGTTTCGGATAGATTGGTTCCCAACATCGACTTTGGTTTTAGTTACGTCCCTTCTTTTCCTTACTCTAATGAAACGATCACCATTTTCATTTTCAGAATGGCTAGATTTTGTATATGTGCCACTATTTTCAAACAATTTAAATTGACCTTTATAAAAATAGCCCATTTTTCCCTCACTGTTAAGTTTATTCAGTTTCTGCCTTCTCGTCAAATCATCGCTAATTCTGATCCTAAATTTCCGTAGTATATCTCTTTCTTTGAAAATTTAAACTTATCATCATCACACCTGAAAGTGACTAACGTCATGCGACAAATTTCATCCACTTTATTACCTTTTCTTGAAACAAATTTCAGATCATCAGGTATCCAAGATTCACAAGGACTTGCAACATTAAGCACTTCTTTAATAACTTTTGATTTATTTCAGACTACCAATAGATTCACTGTTGGTTTCGCTTGAGCAAAAATTCTTAAATTGCTCTTCTTTGCTTCGTGTTCAAGATAATCAATGTCATTACCAATTTCTTCAAACTCTTCCATTTTTCGATCGATTTTATCACTAAGGTATTCAAAAAATCGACCTCACCTTTTAATTACGACACCTCCTTTTCATACTCACTGTGATACTGTTTAAGTTTAGATAATTCACTTTTTGTTAAAGCTACATCAAATTAAATGGACATCATTTCTGACTTAACATCATGCAGCTCTCTCAGTTAACGATGATCAAGTACACTAATGGCTTCTAATATTCTCGTCTCGCTGTCATGAGAAACTGGACCAGGGTTTGATTCAATGACACCAGAAATCAGTAAAGGTTTTTTCTGTATACCTCGGAATAGTGGCTAAAATTGTAAATGGCCAAATGTGCCGAAATCAACTGGCCAATGAAAATATTTCCAAAAATAAGATTTGGAATTTCCTGTGAGCCTACAATAATTTGATTTTCGAGCAGTGGACAATTTTCATCTGTGTTAATATAACTATTAAAACAGATAGCATCAAATTTACACGCAATAGACATGTAAGAATAACAGTTAAGGTTGCAAATAGTCTGTAATGTATATTAGAACTTGATGAAGTAGTGTATGGCCTAAATACACATAAATTACAAGTGCTTTTATTCTTGTGTGCGTCGTTTTGGAATCATGTAAAAAACCTTAATGAATATTAGATCGGCATAACAGAAGCAATCCGTCACTAAAGAAGGTTAATAAGTCTCATTAAAATTCATTTGAATGGTAACATTGAAAATTAAACATCAACAACCAAATGTTGCTACCTGAAAAATAAAGGATAACAGTCCCTTCCCAAATGATTGTACATGGCTCCCTTAAGGGTTTAATAAATTCACATAATTTGTTAAACGTTCAACACAACTGTGTCTGTACCCAACTGCTCTAAGTGATTGTTTAGTTGATATTGAAATGACACGTATAGCGAAAGAAAGTCATTGTTATTAAACTAAGTGTGAAGCAAGTTTACGTGGAGACCCCGCTTCGGTAGGTTTTGGATTCACTGGGATCAAGATCAAGGTAACTTTGACTAACAATGGCCTCTGGCCGATAACTAGAATATAAAATGAGATATTATAATCAAAGTTAGTATAAACAAGCTTATGGTAAAGCTTATGCACTAACATTCAAGGTCTCTGTAACTCAAAATAGAAAAGTAGTTTCCGGTTAGCAAATGGAATTAGGACTGAGATAATGTTATCCAACTTGTCATCTTGCAGCTTATTTAAAGACATTTTATTCGCTTTTCGGTACGATATGGTCGGGGTCACTGATTTAAAAAATGGAAAATAATTTTCAAGTCCATAACAAGGAAATGACATATTTCAATCACACTTGGAAAAAAATTCCATCTAATGTTGAGTCCTCGCTATGACCTCTAGGTTATGGCAAGGGTCACTGATACTAAAAATAGAAAACTTGTCTCTGGTTGGTAACAAGAGCGAAAAATCAAACTTGGGCAAACGCGAGGTTAGATTGAGAGTCCGCTTGGATTTTCTTTTTAGAGTGAAAGTCAATGTCACAATTATATTTCATGTAATAAAGAAACTGGATTTTTGAAAGAGATAATTATAAACAATTAACACGAATGAACAATGTCGTTTTCTCTCCCTTACATTGATAAGATTTACTTATTCAAAAAAACAGGTTAAAGGTTTTTGGAACAGGGCAAGCGTCGTTTTCACATTTCAGACTTATTGATGAATTAGATTCATACTTGGATAGACTAAACTGACATTTAAAAAGAGTGTTGCCGCGCTTGCAGTGGCAATTGTTAAAACAACTGGTTTCATGGCATATCCATGTTTTTCTTCAATATATATTTTTTTCATTTGTCAATAATTTAGGCGTTGGTTGCAGTTGTAATACAGCTCCAAATGGAGACAGCTAGATGGGCCGTCTGTCCATATGAGAGTTTTCGAAGTAATGGGAGTATTTATGCTCGAATGTGGGAGAAATGTGGACATTCAACTGTGAACAACCGTTTACTACTCTCTGTACTTATAACACCGGACGGAAAATCCATACGATGTATTGGAGTCGAGGCGGAACATTTATATGAAGAGCTTGAAGAGAACGATGAGCATAGCCAGTTTTATTACTTCAGGAATATTGTTTTAAAGTTATTGAAAGCTTTTAAGGAGGTAAGAATTTATAACTTATTTTATCAAGTTAAGTACTATATTGCCAATGTAAATACTTGATCTTAGTGAAAACAATCAATGCAAACTACTTTTCAATACAACATGACAAAGCAAGAATATTGGCTTTACGCTATAATGACGAAATAAATTGATACTCGTAAGCATTTTAACCCGATGAAAACTAGTAATGTAAATTTTGTTATTTAGTCATCTTTACTTATTGTTCTAATATTTATGTATGTGATCATTGCCGTTATTCATTGGAAGACATACTATCATTTCTTTGGGCAGTTGTGATGTTTTCCAGTTGTGCTATCGTTAGGGGCTGATTTACATTACATTTGTGCTATACACTCATCAGAATTATAAATTTGTTTTCGTTTAAGAACAGCGATATTCAGCTGCAAGATGAGAATGGAAAAACACTTCCAGCTTTGACTGTATTCACACTTTTATTAAATTTCTTCATAAATGATATACAAGAAAGGGCCAAAGAATACCGCGAAACCGACAAGCATTATGTGCTTGTTGTACCAGAGATGTTTCAAGTTGTTGGAGCAATAGATTTCATAAGGAAATCTGCCCTTGAGGTTAGAAATAACGCATTTCCATCTAGAGTATAAGGCATGTAGAATTTTAGATATCAAATTGGTCTATGTGGTATTTACCGGCTATAAAATAAAGTTTTAGAGTTTTAATGCATAGAAGAGGTTAACCGCACACGCCGTATTTAGGCCTTAGTGGTTAATATCGTTTAATAAAATTAAATGGATGTAAAAAAGCTGATGAATACCCCAAAGCCGATATTAAGTCGCTTGTAAAGGGAACTAGGAACCTTATATTTTTTGTCCCATCGATCGCACAAAAAAATGCCCAATTTATTGTCAGTGATAGATTTAGATTTTTTGTAACATTTATTTAAAGTGTCTTAATTGTGTACCACTGTAATTCCAATGCTTTTATACATTCTTATAACCTCCAATTAGAGAGCCACACAATTTTAATACATATAAATTTGATAAAATGCTTAGTTTCGGTTATATGCCCAAAATGATCATTTCCTACACACAAGCAATATAGACGGAGAAATATCACCAGTAGTTATAAAACACTTTGTTTTATTATTAAGGCCATAGTTCGAATATGTCCCTGCCTCCCAAGTGATTTGATGTGGTTAGTTGTCTTTAGTGATTAGTATTTTTTTTCAAATTACAATGGCATATGCCATAGAATTGGAAACACAATGTCTGCTAAATATGGTGCTTGGTGAAAAGAACAAACGGAAACCACACTTCGGTTTTAAATTACAATAACAATCGGGTTTACACCAGGACTAGACGTAAGCATATGTAATTTGATTATGTGTTTGCATAATATTTTGGGGGGTTTCCGCTAACAGATCTTTAGTGTTTTAATAATATCTTCGACCTCGTTGTCCATTCAGTACAAACACAGACAATGACTGACTGATTAAATTGAATTTTTCATTTTTTATCTTAAACTCCTTTTTTTAGTTGGAAAATGAACTTAAATTTAAACGGAAAATTTTTAAAAATGCATTAAATTTGTTTCAATATTAACCCCTTTTTTACATTCTAGTCTACGTGCAGAACGGAAACTAGCTCGAGAGCAAGTTATTTATACCCTTTTTCCAGTTCACACACACTGTGTCCCATAGAGTATACGATTGATCTTAAACACAAGTATAATGAAAAGACCTCTCTGCTATGATAAAAATAATTATTTATTCATTTATTTATACTCCAGTATTGAAGGTGCCGAACATTACTTTTAAATTTTTTAA